CTTTTATTCATTTTATAATTTTTGTTTTGTTGTTTTTTTAGCACTTTTTTTTTTCTTCATTTATTTTCTGTGTAATCGCAATACACTTAACAAGCCCCTGTGTGATAGCATTCGGAGGTGACAAGTTCTCTTTATGAAACCTGTCACTTCCAATACAGGAATTGTTGCACAGCTCTCCTGGCTCAGTGTTCACACGGAGCAGACCAGAGAACGGACGTTCTCCGCTCTGCTTCACGCTCTTCATCCTGAACTAATTCGCCGTAGCACTGGGTCCTATAGGGCAAATTACAGATTTCTAAAGTTCTATATAAGTGCTTTCATTTCACTTTTGTCATCAGTTTATTTTATTCATGACTGGAATTTACATAGCACTGACAATTTTTACACAGCGCTTTACATAGTTACACATTCACATCAAGGAGCTTACAATCTAAGGTCCCTATCTCACACACATACCTACATCAAGGCTGATTTAGACAGGAGCCAATGAACCTTCCAGCATGTCTTTGGAGTGTGGGAGGAAACCGGAGTACCTGGAGGAAACCCACACAAGCACAGGGAGAACATGCAAACTCCATGCAGATAGTGACCTGGCCGGGATTCACACCAGGTATGCCACTGTGCTGCCCCACTTTAGCATCTTTGTAGTCAGATTACATTTAAGGAAAAGAGAGATAATAGATGAACAGGGCTGGGGTAACAGATAGAAGAGCCCTGTTGTAGGGCCTGATGGAACCTTTGATGGCAGTGCGCGGAGATCAGCTTTAACTTTCATACAAATGGGTTGTCGTACTATTATGAACCTTTTTGTCAAATAAATGTACCGTAGTTTCATGTAGTCATTGAATTTTATGTTTCTGCTGCAGGATGAATGAGTTGAATCTGAGCGCTGTGGGCATGGACCAGCTTACCTCCTCCTCTGTTGCCAATGTTCTGCCTGTCTCAGGAAACCATCTCGGGCTTACAGCCTCCCCACCACACAATGTTCTTACTACACAAGGTACAGGGGTGACTCGGGCAGGGCCATTTCACGCCAGTGATAAGTGAATGATGTTTAAATGTCTGCTATCCATACTAAAACAGGATAACGCTTCTTGCCTTTTGTTGGATATGTGTTCAGTGGCAGTGGCCTGACAGATCTGTTTCTGTAGATTTGCACTAGCTTTGTATCTACAGATTCTCCACCCCTAGCCTAACCCGACCCCCAAATGTTGTACCTGCAACCCTGCCTAAAGCTGGCCATACACCTATAGATTATCTGCAGATTTTCTGTGGTCAGATGGAAAAAGTGCAACAGATTCCTCCATCTACGCTAAACTGTGTAGATCAGCGGTTCTCAACCTGTGGGTCGGGACCCCTTCGGGGGTCGAATGACAATTTGCCATGGGTCGCCGGGAGTCTCCCGCTATTAGATAGCTATTAGATTATCATCATTATTATTATTATTAATAAAAGCTGACACCCTCGGCTTGTGTTATATGGTTTGCCATTTTAGCTGTTACAACATTTGGTTCTCAACCTGTGGGTCGCTGTGTGATTTCTGCTGTGCTCGGTGAGAGTCCTCCTTAGCCCTCTCCTAGCGCAGCAGTGTCAGTTCTCCTGCCACGCCGCCAGATGTCGCTGCAGCATCGCTTCAACCCTAAATTTTACCGTTGGGGGTCACCACAACTTGGCAAATGTTACAAAGGGGTCCCGGCCCTAGAAAGGTTGAGAACCACTGGTGTAGATGGAGGAATCTCCCACTGGGCCAAGCTTCAGTATCTTGCTAGTCGGTCCCGCTGGGTCTCAAAATACCTGAACAATGCCTGCATCCAATCAGATTATATGTAGTGGGAGGGAAGCAGAGGGCAGCTCAGCCCATTAGTGAACACACACAACTGAAATATCCGCTTTGGGTAGGATTGGCCTTTAAAGCAAGTGTGCTTATATTACATTGATTGTATGTTTTCTGTGTTGTACAGGTCTGCCTGTGGCCATTCCAAACCTTGGTCCATCGTTGAGCTCCCTTCCTTCTGCACTTTCCGTCATGCTTCCTATGGGCATTGGTGAGAGAGGTGTAATGTGTGGCCTCCCGGAGAGAAATTACACCTTGCCACCACCACCATATCCACATCTAGAAAGCAGCTACTTCCGCCACATACTGCCTGGTAACGTGTATTAATATCTTCATTTTCTCTGACTACTGCATAGAAATATATTTCAAAGTGAAGGTTGTTGGCAAAAGTGCCCCTTGTGATTATCGCTTGAACTAGTGCCGCTCTTTCTTTTGGTGGAACAGATGGCCCGCTACATGTATGTGCTGTCTGCATGGCACCTGCCAGGGCCTGCTATCAGTTATATTTTTTGTGAAATGTAGTGCTAACCTTAAAGGAGCTCAGCTCTCCTCCCCTCCCAGTGCTCCACCTCTCAAGAGCTATGCTTGCCCAACTTCCAACTGACTCAGGAGCTTAGCTTACCCTACTCAACACCAGTAATGACTCAGGAACTCTGCTCACCTCACCCTGCTCATCCCTCTCTGTAGTGGCTGTGGCTCAGCTATCCCCTCCCAGCAGTGACCCCTTCAAGAGCTCCTTCTTTGTGTTTATAATATAGATAGGAAGACTGCTGAATCACTGCTGGGATAGAGAGCAGGGTGATCTGAGCTGCTGAGAGAACTACTTGAACGACTTTGGTACAACAGCCTTATATTGTATGCAGCAGGTGTGCTGACGTGGGATATCTAAGTCGGGTAGTCTCTGAGAGACATAAGAAAATGTGGTAACATGACTGTACAGTATCTACCAATGATGAAATTATTATTTTGGATGGGTGGCTAGCCAAAGTGTATGGAAATTTATGTAAATGGATCCCCCTTTACCTTGACAATGTAGTTTTGGAAGGCTTTTTATATTGACGCAAGTAAATGTTTAATAAAAACCTGTCGATCCTGACAGTTTCTGCTCTCCGAGGCCTTTTTCTAATCGTGTAACCCCCGCTCCCAATTTGCTGTATTTTTTTTATCACCTTCCTATTTAAACTACAGGCATCTGTGCTTTCATCCAAGTTCCTGTCGGTGCTCTCTGCTGGTTGACTCACAGTTACTCAGCTGCATCATATATCTCATCTTTTCATTTGCCTATAGTTCCACTTTATGTCTGATTTGCTGCTTTATTGTTACACTGTTCGGATTTGTTTCTGTTTCTTATGTCTTGTTTCTGATCTTTTCCAGGAATCTTGTCCTATTTAGCAGACCGCCCGCCTCCTCAATACATACACCCCAGCTCCTTGAATGTTGATGGTAATGGAGGCCTTTCCGTGTCCAACAACTCTCCATCTCTAGACCCATACCACTCCGGTGGCTCTGTCGGGTTGGAGACCGGAATGGTGTCTCTGGACAGGACAGTGGGTGGACATGCTGGTCAGAGCTTACACCCCAGTGATGGGCACGAGGTGGCACTGGATGCCGGGATGAGTATGGACAATGTGTCCCGGGTGAACAGTCCCATCACGACAGATCGGATAACAGAAGAACTGACCATAGAAGGTGTGACTGGGGAGCACCCACAGATTTCCAGTGTGTCCCGCCCCCACGAGTCTCTCACTGTTGATGCCAACCTACCTCCAGATGCTGTGGGCCACACCGGGGTCCTGCCGTTACACAGCGGATCGCTGGAGCTTCCCGTGGTCATGGAGAGCGAACACAACATGGGAACTCGGTCTGGCATGGCGGAAAACTCACTCGGTGATGCCATCCATACTGTGGCCTTAAGCAGTAACCCTGTCAGCGTGGCGTTGTCTACCTCCCACCAGCTCTCCTCTTTAACCTCAGTAACGCTGCACGGGGGTGCCATGAGTTTAGAGCCAGTCACGGTGTCTTCCATCACGCAGGAAGTGTCGCTGGCAGGCGGGCATGTCGATGCTGGCAATCTGACTTTCGTCCCGTCCTCCTTGCAGATGGACTCGAACTCTAACAAGGAAAACATGGCGACTCTCTTTACAATTTGTGAGTGGGTTTAAGATAGAATGTTTAGCTATACATGTCATTGTAAACTGCACAGTGTAACTAATCTTGTCAATGCACGTTCTTATTTCTGGTCATGCTTTTCATTTCTATTGTAATTATAAGGACAGCTTATTCCCTACATATGGAGTCACAATGTATACGCTGGAGTGTTCATCTTTTCTCAGAGTAGATCTTTGGGTCAGATCAGGCAAAAGTCTCACCATTAAAAAATCTTTGCCCTTACAATTGGTGCAATGGATCCAGAGCTATCGTGGTTGACAGTGTGCCCCCCCCCCCCCTTTTCCCCG